TCGGAGGACCTCAGAAAAAGAATTGGTGTTGCTCATCAGGCTGGAAAAGGTTTCAAAGCCATCTCTAAAGTGTTTTGACTCGACAAATCCACAGTCAGACAGATTGTGTAGAAATGGAGGAAATGTTTTATTTAAAGAACAGGGATCTATCAAAGTTTGGTCATGTTTGTGGAAGTGTATCATGGCACAAACAAATGAGATCTCGGAGGACCTCAGAAAAAGAATTGGTGTTGCTCATCAGGCTGGAAAAGGTTTCAAAGCCATCTCTAAAGTGTTTTGACTCGACAAATCCAGTCAGACAGATTGTGTACAAATGGAGGAAATTCAAGACCACCGTTACCCTCCCCAGGAATGGTCCACCAACAATGAACACTCTAAAAGCAAGACTTGTAAAAGTTTCAAAGGACTGCAGGCTAACTTCTAAGCAACTAAAGGCCTTTCTCCCATTGGCTAATGTTAATGAGTCCACCATCAGGAGAACACTGAACAACCATGGTGTGCATGGCAGAGTCGCAAGAAGAAAGCCACTGCTCTCCAAAAAGAACATTGCTGCCCATCTGCAGTTTGCTAAAGATCATGTGGACAAGCCAGAGGACTATTGGAGAAATGTTTTGTGGATGGATGAGAACAAAATAGAACATTTTGGTTTAAATGAGCAGGGTTATGTTTGGTGAAAGAAAACACTGCATTTCCAGCATAAGAACCTTATCCCATCTGTGAAACATGGTGGTGGTAGTATCATGGCTTGTGCCTGTTTTGCTGCATCTGGTCCAGGACGGCTTGCCATCATTGATGGAACAATGAATTCTGAATTGTACCAGCAAATTCTGAAGGAAAATGTCAGAACATCTGTCTGAGAACTGAATCTCATGAGAAAGTGAGTCATGCAGCAAGACAACGACCCCAAGCACACAAGTCGTTCTACCAAAGAATGGTTAAAGAAGAACAAAGTTAATGTTTTGGAATGACTGAGTCAAATTACGGACCTTAATCCAATTGAAATTTTGTGGAAGGACCTGAAGCAAGCAGTTCATAGGAGGAAACCCA